CACACACACACACACACACACACACACACAGCTACACACTTGTCTTCATGTCCCAATGCCACCAGCCTTAGAAAAGCCCTACAGTCTCAATGTGCAATGTCCTCTCTCTGTCAACATATCCTCTATCCTAGCATTAATGTGACAGAATATAACCAGAGCCCAGAACAACCAGGCAGCACAGAGCAATGAAAAACAGCATGTGTAACACCGGTGTTTCCTCATCTTCTGGAGCTGCTTGCTTCCTCATCACACGGTGACTCCACTTACAACGAAGTCGAACGTTTAAAACGCTTTTCTGTTTAATAAACTTGTTAAACCTGGATTCCCAGTAACATCTTACATAGTTATGAGTGAAGTTGAATTCATGGCAGTGGAGCAGTATTATAACTAATTCTTTTAATTTAATTGATGCTATTAAAGTCTCATTTTCATAATTTCAGATTGTGGATGACATCAGTGATCGAATCTGTGACACATGATGAATGGGTGGACACTAAGGGACAAGACATCAGTGCTTTAAAAGTGTTTATCCATGGTGAGTACAACACAAAATAATAATTTATTTATAAAGTTATGTTACATTTGTTATTTTTTAATTTTAAGGCATTATACAACTTATCTTTTGTTTCCCCCCTACACAATCATAGACTATATAGAAATGGAAGACAAGTCTACACTTCCTCCCACTGTGCAAAAATAAAGTCAATATATCTCGGACACGTACGCTGCCATCCGACCTTCACCATGTTTTTAAAGCATGAATTAAAAGTTAGAAGAAAAATTAACACGTGAACTTATATCACGCCTAAAATGACACAAACAATCCTTGGAAAATATGTATTTTTACTCTTTGGTTTGGTCCATGTTCCATCCACTTACATGGAGGAGACAGCGAGTATGACCTATAATGCAGCCAGCCACCAGGGGTCCACCGAGATGTTTTGGCTTCACTTTTTGAGAGCTGTCATGTCGTCCATGTTTGTATACAGTCTGTTTCAAACAGTACAAACATAGTTTCACCTGAACATAGTGTCGTTAGATACTAAACTTAAATTTCTTGTTCAACAAACGGGTACAAATGGAAGGATTGTTTTTTTGGCCAGTAGCATTTTAGGTGACAATAAATTAAAAAGTTTGTGCCCAAGTAAAGAAATGAGTGAGTGGTGTTGAAGTCAAAGCCAAACTGTGGGTCCTGTAGATATATTTATCTTGTGCAGTCTAAATATTTTGGATCAGGAACAAATGTGTGACTCAAGTCCACACCTCTGCTGGATAAAGAGGAGATCAGTCATTAAATGACAAATGTTTTGTTTGACTTGTTTAATGATCTGTGTGTGGCTGCATGGACTTCAGTGGCTACGCTGCAGTGATGTGCGCTGCTTCATCAGTTTGTTGGAGCCCAGAAACTGCAAGTCTCCTTGCAGGGGGAAAAAAATTAACTTGAGCTGATGGCCAAGGGAATAATCTGGTTATGTGTAATGAGGGCTCTTATTATGCGTCTATCAGGTTGAGTGTGCTGGTGGTGGACTTCCCACATCTCCCTCTCAAGAGGCATGACGCTCTTACTCCGCTTCTCTCGCTTTTTAGTCTGAATTGTAGGCAATTAAAACCTCACCATGTGAGTGTGGAAAAAGGTAATGAATATGGAACACTAACTCGGAGAAGTCCGGAGAGACCGCTTGTCGAGTTCTGAGGGTTCCTTTCTCCAAATCATTGAAAAGCACAAAGACCGTTTGACAGTGTTTTTTTTTTTCTCTCCCCGTCCCTCGCTTGGTTTGCATGTGACTCCCCAAATGGTAGCCCAGAGGTTTTAAAAATGCGAAGCCCATTCTTTCCAGGTTGGTGAACTTCCGTGACCTATGGCAGTCGGGAGAAACTTTTTGTCGTGGCTTTGGCGCCCTGCCTGGATGACCGTGCCAGCTCTTGCCGCTTCTGAGCAGAGCAGACGAGTGATGGGAAGGGGGCTGAGTGGATGCGTCTAGACAGCCAAGTGGAGGAGGGCAAATATTTAGCCATGTCACTTGGGGAGGGGATGCGGGCCTCCTCTTAGCCACAGAATCAGGCCATGTCTCCATCCTGCTCCCAAAGCTGCTTCGCACTCTGTATTCAGGGTCACGGATCTCATTTCTTGGATAATATTTCAAGCTGGTCACAGATGGGGAATTAAATTGAAGACCTGGCTTGGAATTGGGCATAAAGGATGGATTTTGGGGGCTTCTCAGAGAGATGATATGAAAAAGGAAACAGATACTGTAACTGTAGATGTACTTATCCGACATTTAAGGGTTTCTATTAATAAATGCATGAAACGCTGACTTAGTTGTTTGCTCGCTGAAAGCAGAACAACCCCCACAGTCACCACCTATAATCTGACATGAGTCACTTCATTTTAGAATGAATTGTTACTTTGCTGTTGATGGCTGATCATAATCTCCCCCCCCCCCCTCCTTTTCACACTCATGCACGTCACCTTTCGTTGCTTATTGTGCACACATTTTTTCTGCTCTTAAAGTTGGACATGCACATCCTGTTTCACGTTG